ACAAATGAAATTTACTTTTAGTTGATAATATATTATACATATATGTATTTTCTAATAAAAAATACATTTTTACTTATAAACTAAAGGGCTTAGAGCATATTTGAGCAAATTAAAAGGTATAAATAATTATTTTAGACTCATAACTAATGTAGATACTAGACAGTTTCATAGTATAATATTCTATGGGCTTTGTATGGGCTGGCACCCATTTCGAAAATATTTGATTAGGTATGTGTTTAATAGGTAGGCTTTAATTACTTAGCCAAAGCACACCGACTTCGAAAATATTTGATTAGGTATGTATAGTAAATGAAAACTACCAATCAGTTATTTTTTACTTTTTAGTGCTTTTGTTTGAAGTCGGTTTTTATTTTTTTGTTTAAAAATTTTTATTTTTCCCTTTTTAGTGTAGACAGTAGTAGCAAAGTAAGGATTCTAACGTGTTAGGCTTGTCAAATCAAACAAAATAAGCCCAAACTCAAAGTATCTACTATTAGCCGTTGAAGAGTTCCACCTATCCACCTTCTGGCCTTGCCATCAGATCAGGTCAACATCACCGAACCACTGTACTATCAACGGAAATAGAAATACTTGCAAAGTTTCAAGTCAATATGACAATTAGAAGTAGGTTAAATTCATCATTAGTTGTTTTTCCACCCTTAGGGGTGGTATTTTTTTTTTGAAATTTAAATGAGACTAATCTGAAAGTATACCCTTTCAAACAAAACAAAAATTGTGCAAATCGGTTAATAAATGACGGAGTTCTGAGGTAACAAACATAAAAAAAAACATACAGTCGAATTGAGAATCTCCTCCTTTTTGAAGTCGGTTGAAAAAATAATATGTAATAATCTCGCTGAGTTTCTTTCAACATTGGTTGTTAAGACAAAGGCGTTTCTTCCTGGATTGGTGGTCAAAAGATTTGCCAATATAAATTACGAATTCGAATTAACGTCTCTGAATAGCTTCATTCATTTTGAGATTCTTCATTCACAAATTTGAACTCATAGTTTTGAATTCAGCAAGGTTGTCCCCTTAAGTATGAGTATCAGCTGGATAGATATAAAGCATGTTATAATTGTTCAGCAATTTTAGGATATTTCATCCTATATCCGTATTTTTTTTGATTAAAATAAGAACAAGCATCTATAATAAACAAAATAATTGACACCATCCGAGAATAGAATTCATGATCTTTGACTTAACAAAAATTGCCAGGAATTCCACATTAAACTCCGATAAATATATCGGGGGGCACAACAGTGCCCCCGCCAAGTCGAGCAAAAAACGGCACGACAGTACCATCCTCTTCTCGAATTGATTCTGCCCGCAAGACTTAGATAACATAATATATTTCCAAATAACATTTAATTTGATTTAATTTACAAAAAAAAAACTTCAATAACGCAAATATTTTGTTTATATATACGGTATTATTTCAAATTCAAATACATAATAAATAATATTTTATTAATTAAAAGTATATTCAGTTTTATAGCTTACAGAATTTGCTCTATGTATTCATTCATATTGTATTTTTAGTATTTTAAGTAAATGATATGATTTCTAAACTACCCACTACCTTATCAAATCGCGTCGTGCATTATTCATTTTGCATTTCATTTATATTCATATTCAAATACTTAGTCTATTTCTTTAGCTACTTAATATTTCTTACAAAAATTTACAGTATTCTTATTATAGAGGCCGCAAACATCATTAAAGTCGACGTACTCTAACACCAAAGTAAGTTTATTTATTTTGGTGGTATTTTTGATGGATAAAAACTAAAATTTCAAACAAGATTTTATTTTTGAAACTAATTCTAAAAAAAAAACTCGAGCAAACATTATTTTTGGGTACAAATTTTTAAGGAATAAATGTTTTGGTAAAAATTTAAATACCATTTACGATTAGCTACATTCTATCGTTAAGGATTTGCTACAAAGCTTTGCATATAGAATTACAAAATTAAACATTTTCATAATACTTTCTTAGATTTACGCGAATGTTTGACATTATTAAATAAAACTATCTTTTCGGATTATTTCGCGGATTTATTTTGATTTTTGGTTCCCGACGTTTCGAATGCTTTACAGCATCCATGGTCACGGGAGAGACTGAGGTGTTACATGTCTTAAAGATATAGTTAAATTTGTTAAAAAACAACTTCAGCATTCATATCAAGTCTCAAACAGATAACGTCAGTCAAGTTAAATTTATCAATAGTGCAGTAGGTACTAAAAAAGATTTTAATAAAAATATATAACAATAATTTGCGTATTAACTGAATATGAAATCTTGTTCGGATGGAAAAGGCAAAGCATTGAGTTCACGCGAAATCATTTTATTATAATAATATCACAATCTACATTCGTGTAACAAAAGCGTCCAAACCCTAGTCATAGAGAGTGGACTGAGTGTTTCTTTGCGAGTCGTCAGCTAAAAATGGCGGAAAAGTGACAGAGATAAAACTAATATACGGCCAGAAGTCCTCTGTATTAATTAAATTACGATTAATGAAGATAGATATTTATAATCATTTTACTTTCCATAATAATATTATAATGTTCAATAATATTACAATTATTTCACATTCCATTTATAAACTTAAATTAGATTAAAAGATGGGTATTGGCCGCACGTTCGCTTTCTCTTTTTCTAGAGAGTGGTCAATTAAATGACAGTATTGCTCAGTCCATTCTCTACGTCTATGGTCCAATCATGGCTATCGCGGGCCCGCTCCCGACTTTCATACGTACTTTTTATATGACAGTCGGGAAACGGCTATAGAGACTCGTGACAACAATTTTGCGGGATTTCTATTCAGATCAAAGGCGATCAGCTACTCTTTTGATTTTTTAATTGTATTAATATTTTACTTCAAGGTGATGTAGAAACAATTGCATTAAATTCCTTATTTGATTGAATGTCTTAAATATCGACAAAGAGCAAAAGAAAAACATTTTACCTCAGTATTATATCAAGTTTGATTTTAAAATATATGAGAAATTAACTTCTATTTTTGATCAATTTCAAAAAGGTGAAAGTATTCAATTCGGTTGTTTTTTTTTGTGTGTGTATGCTATGCGATATCTTCGCTAATTGAATGAAATTGATTTTCATTCGATTCAATTCAATTTTCTTGTTAATAATCGATTTTCATAATTCTTTTTTAATTAATAGATTAAACCTTAAGGTCATATACAAAGTAAAATTTCCGAAGGGTAAAATAATTATTGCTACTCGAACTTGAAGTACTCGATACTCGAAGGGTTAAGTCGATGTACATTTAAAAAAAAGTTAAATTAACTCAATACTGTGTTGTTCTTCGCAAGTGTCTTCTGTTACTTTAGCAAGCTTCAAATTATACTTTAATGAAGTATATACCGTAGATTTATTTATACATCATTAATTTAATAGAATATAATTTGCCCACACTTCATAACGTTCCACAGCAACACTAAATATGAGATAAATCAAGAGTAAATTAAGTGTTTTAAGCGTATATTGTTAAGTTAAATATTAATATTTTGACTTGATATTTATGAACTACACAAAGGTAATTAAAGTTAATTAGTCTAAGTCTTGCTTACAACAAAAAATATCTTAAAAATAAAAAAAATATCACAACCTTAAAAACAACTAAAGCATATCGCTTATTTGGCATTTATCTTAAAATATACTGTACAAGATTGAGTTGAAATAGTTTAGAAGGCAATAATGCATTAATATTTAAACTGAGAGAATGAAATGCCAAATGCATTAATCAAGACATAATTGAATTTCCTTTAATCCTATTGGATTTAGGCAATATTATTCTACATTCGTTGAAGGATAGAAATCTGAAGATATAGAAATGACATACGATTCTATAACCTTAAACGTTGAGAGCGTTCTATTCAATTGTAAATTGAATGCGGACAGAAAAGTGCAAGAGAGACGAAGCAATCGTGCGGCCATAGACAGACAGAAAAGTTTCAATTGTATTCATTGAGTAGGTGTTCGCTATTTGCATTATTATATTTGTAATATTATTTTTCAATTGAAAAGTGATTGACATTATTATTGAAAGCAATCAAACATAGTTTATATTATATAGACGTGTTTTAAGCAATTAGTTGTTTATGCACTACTTAATTTACAATTTGTTGAAATTATACATATCCATATCAATATATTATTATAGTAAAGTTGTGTTGAATAGTTTCTGTGCTTGCATGTTCAGATATTTGTGTTTTTAAACTGATTTAATAATAAATTTTATCTCTAAATTTTTATATCGCTTACTTTATTTTTATATATAAAAGAAACAGGTATTGGCCGCACGTTCGCTTTCTCTTTCCTAGAGTTTTCGCTTTCCTAGAGAGAGTATTGCTCAGTCCATTCGCTACGTCTAGGTATAATATAAAGTTTGAATTTATCACTTTAACATATTTATAGAAATTCTATGCTTCAACCCCACACCCCACCCCCCTCCCCCCCTATTTAGGTGTACGTGCTTTTTTTTAGTCACGAGTCACTGTCACGGAAAAATATGGTTCTTTTTAAAAATATTAAAAAGTTATTATTTCTACAAAGTGCAGTTTTAGAGATCACTTAAAACTAGCTAATTTAACTAATATAATATACACATACATATATTTAATTTTAACGTTTTAATACTGATAAGATGACTAGAATGAGCAAGCTTATTAAATATGTCAATTATTAAATTATTTATTTATTATTGTTTTATGCATCTAAATATATTATTATATTGATATGCTTATATTCTAAATTTTAAATGTAACCTAAAATATCACTTTTAAAATGTATTTGGCCGTTTGGTAGATCTCTTGAAAGTCTATAACAGAATGCTTCGTTGTAGAATTATTCCACTTCAACAATATTACAACATGCCATTTGTACACCAATATATTTTAGTTCATTCCGAAGTATAGCTAAGATTTATATATCGAGATCTACTGTGTGAAAACGACCAAATACTCCACGGGCTAGGTACTGCATTTAAGTATTTTTCGAAAAGCCTTTCTAAATTCAGGATTAAAAATTGTATAGATAACGGGGTTCAAGAAGGAATTGATGTAGCCGAGCCAAGTGTTGAACATGAAAACGGTGACTCCAGGAGTGAATTGAAGGCCAAGCTTCCCACAAATTGCGTCCAAGACGTTACACGTGAAAAATGGAGTCCAACAGAAGAGGAATACACCTGCGAATAATATAAATTTATTAACAAATAACGATACATATCATATTACTAAAAGGGAAATGTGTTTTGCGCTATAGGTACTTATAAATAAAAAATATAGTAATTAATTTAAAAAATAGAGTAAAAGTGAAATATGTTATTTTTACCCGACTGCGGCGAAGCTCAAATGAGGCTTATGTGTTTGACCTGTATGTATATACATATATGTATGTATGTATGTGTAGGTATGTAAGTCCGATCCTGATTCGATGTTTCCTCGTAATTACTAAAGGGCTTAACCAAATTTTGATGATTCATGACTTCATAATACTATGTTATATTGTAAACTTGCTCTCATCATTTTAGTTCGCTTTTTACGTAGTCCGGTTTTTTATTTTTATAATTTAATAATTTTTTTCCATAGTGCCACATGAAGAGTCGTGGGCTACTTTTAAATAAAACTTGACAGATAATGACATGGAGTGAATCTTCGATTTGTTAGTAAGTATAAACTTTATTGAGCAATTAGAAGTTGAATAATAAGAGCTATTTACTGAATTCTCACTTTCGTTTTCGCGTTTTTAGATGACTTCCAAGCAACTAACTTTTAACAAGTTCGTGCGAAAGGCGAGTCATTTATAAAAGTTTAGTATATAAATATAAATCTTGTATCTGAAGATTTTTGTGGACATAGAATATCTTCAATAGTCCACGATAACATATCGTCAATAACACAATTTGTGAAGTTTAAAGTTTAGCAAATCATCGAAGTATATCACCAATACCAATTTGTGATTTGACTTCCGCCTTAAAAAATGAAATAAATAAATAAATATAAATATGTTGGAACATTAGCACACAACACGATCTAGTTCCATGGTAAGCTAAGAGGCTTGTCTTATGGATATCAGATAGTTGATACACTAAACATATATAACTCTAAATACATACAATATACATCTTATAAAATATATAAACACCCATGACTGGAGTACAAACATTCGTGCTCATCACACAAATGAATGCTTCTAGCGGGACTCGAACCCGCGACCGCTGGCACAGTACGTAGGGTGTGAAACTCTCACTATAAAGTGAGCCAAACGTTAAATTAATATTTCGTATTTTAATTGAAAAAGTTTTATTTTTTACTCATACTATTTATCGTATTTTTATAAGTATAGCGCTAATTAGCCCGTTACTATCTTTCTGTCTGTCTGTCTGTCTGTTTACTAATTATGCTGTATGTACCTAATTAACATACTGATGAAGTTGATATTTCGTATTTACTTAGTCAAAGGTTCCTGCAGGAGCAATTTGCGAAAGATGGATCGTAGGAGTTCTGAATCGAAACATATCTTATTTATTGATATAATTCGATAGCATTATCATTTTAGGTGTAGCTTATTTCATTTTATAGTTCACAGAGGATAAGTTAACATAGTATTTAAATGTGAGGTGTTGAAGTGTGTTTTGGATATGTTTGTTCTAGCATTGCTTGTTGGGCAAATTAATATAAATAAACACAAATGTGTTGGTAAAATTCTAACCGACGAATGATTAATATTACGCTCGTAAAGTATAATTAGCATTCTAGGGTTAATGAAACATTATCTACATAAAGGTATTATGTAAATAACTTACCCAAAACAATAGCTAGTGTTTTAGTAGCTTTTCGCTCTTTTTTTGCAGATGATTTCTCTCTTTTCTTTTTACTCGCTTTATTTGCTTTGTAGATGGTGAAGCGTGCTGTTGCTGCACTGGCCTTTCTTTCTTTTTTACACGTTGAGCCATCCCGTATATCGTAGTGACTGGATCTAAGGTCGTCGTCAGATCGAAAGGCAATTGATGCATTTCTGTAAAACCAATATTTTCTTTAGGAATTTTGGATTCTATACTATCAAAGGTTTACTATAAACTAGTGGCTCAACCTCGCTCCGCTCGGGTTCGTCCCAACGTTGGTTCGGGTGCGTCGTTTCGTTTTAACGATTAGTATAGATTTCTTAGAGATGAGATATTTTCCCGCAGTAAAATTTCCTATATGTTGACCCGGATAACCAGCTAATATCATAACAAACTTCATCCAAATCTGTCCAGTGGTTTTCTCGTGATGCGTTCCAGACAGACAAAAATTCTAAAAACTATAGATTCGGCATCTGTATCGACAATAATGACTATTTCAATAAGGTTTTCCTAAAAAATATTTAATGTACAGATTCGACTCAGAGTTTTATTATATGTATAGATAGAAGATAAAATAAGTCTGTTGTTAACTAAGAATGTGGAATATTACAAATAACTGTCTGAGTATAATAATGAAAGATATTTTACTGCTGCTGGCATAAATAATTTGATTTAACAGTATCTATATTAAAAGCACATTCAACTTTCAAATTAAAATTAATTTGAAAGTTGAATGTGCTTTTAATAATATACGAGTATGTTATTGTAATTGAATTGATAATTATAATTTTGTTTCGCAAAGTTATATGTTTGATCTTCAACTTGAAAATTTATTTATATGTATATTTAATTATTATACATATTATTGTGTTTCAATACAATAGTATAGTACTTGATAAGATACACAGAAATTATATGTCTAATAAACTTTAAATAACTTGAAAGATTGAGCTTGTTTTCGTTTAGTATTTCGTAATATCTTGTAAACATATAATAAAAGTGTAACTGATCGCTGTCTGTACATGGAAGATATTTGAGAAGAACTATTATTGGGGGTCTTTATTAAATCAATAGAACCTAAAACAATAATTTTTAGAATGTTTGTCTGTGCGTTTGTGCATGCTAATCTCAGAAACGGCTTAACCGATTTGGATGCGGTTTTCACTAATGTATTGTGTGGTAAGCTTCAATTAACATTCAGTATTTGTTTTATTTCAATCGGTTCTTAAATAAAAATGTTATATCAACATAATGAATTACCTAGGGACCAATCCAAGCAAAGCGAGGGTGAGTCACTAGTTCCTAAATATAATGATATTATATTTGGTATTAGTTCTTAATTTTCGTACCTTGAATCTGTATCCACTCGTTTTCCATTTTTCTTCCATTTCTCACAGGACATGTTCTTTAAAATTGTCACATCTTTCGTTGCTGGTGAGCCGGGGGGTGAGACATGCCCTTTAACAGCGTCGTCTATATTTGAAGGCGAATATCCAGAATCATTGTTGCCATTTGGATCTGGCATAGGTTGAGACCTAATACTTCTTTTCGGTGTTCTGAAAAAAAAAGTTTTTTTTTCTACAATTTCTTATATTTACCTAGTACCGACAAGGGTTTTTTAAATTTAAAATGAACTAAAATCTGTCAACTTTAATTTTACAATGAGATATTTTATGTTCATGTATGTATATTTACTTTATTTTACTATCTGTGACAGCTGCCAGCATGAACTCTGTAGATTTGTCGTTGGGAATAACGTGACACTCATCCGCATCCGCTTCCAAATCCACTGAACGTTTGTCAAAACTAGAAAATAGATAAAATATATAAATAATAATACATATACGAGTATAATAGAGTTCTAAAAGCACTACACAAAACCTTTAATTTCTCCACATGATGTATCACCACAGATTATCTATTTTATATTCTTCGCCATCACAGAAATAAATTTTGAATGAATAAAATATTATAATATAAAGAATGACATTTTTTTATATTCTGTGACCACTCAGTAAAAGCTTTGCTCAATATAGAATATTCATTACCAAATTTGCTATATCTTTATTAATATTAATTAATTACACTCAGATAATTACGTGGTTGATGCTATGTTCTCTTATATCAAAATTCCACTAGAAATTAATTAGTGCAATGTACCGTGTAAATGTTATTAATGGATTGAATATAATATTACAAAACCATTGAATCCATTAGCATTCATCTTTTTTATTAACCATCCGTTGTACTAATTGCAAATGAATTTATAGTAATATTAGCGACTCACACTCGCTTCGATCGGGTTTATTCCTAGGCTTCCCCATACAAACTCTCATCCCTATTTTAACCCCCTTAAGTGATGATTTTCGGGATAAAAACTATCCTATGTCCTTTCCAGGGTCTCAAACCATCTTCGGTACAAACAAATAAACAAACAAACAAAAAAGTCTTTCCTCTTTATAAAATTTAGAGTACAGATTATAAATGCGAAAGTAGCTCTGTCTATTTCTTTTACATTTCTGCGCCGTGAAGTAATTTTTATAAATGGTGGTATTAAAATTGATTGAATCTTGCAGAAGGATTACTTTTTGTCTCAATAATAAAACTAAAACGCTAAAATATAGAGACTGAAAGTTTGTATGAGGAACCCATAATTTCTCAATGTATGAAAATTCGTCTTTCTGTTTTTGTTAAGAAATGAAGAGTATTCCAGCGTTTTTGAAAAAATCATCCCTTAAAGCGGTACCCCTACCGCTGCCTAGGTTATATTTATAAAAAATAATAGTAGGAGAGCTGGCATTCTAGGCAACATAAGAATTTTAATAACAGGCAAAGTGGCAAGGCAACCACCACCCTCCAGCCAGACTTGCACTTTTATACCTGCATATGATTAAAGAAGTGTTGTTAAAATTCTCATCTTGCTTTTAAAATACCTGCTCTAAAATGGCAGCCAGCTCTCGGACTATAAAGAAAATTGGATGTTATTAATCAAGTCGTAAAGCGAAGCGTGAGAGGCTAACAATATATGTATGTAAGTAAAACTAAAAGGTACTTAGAAGCGCACCAGAGCGAAGCGAGTGTAAGTTACTAGTGATAATATAAATTTTCCACTCTCCCTCTTTTAATGAAAATTAGTTTAACTAAGAGTTATATCAAATGAAAACTTGTTAGAACTTACATTTAAGTCTGCCGGTAAGTTATTTTACGTAGTAACTTGAAGTACCAATTAAATTAACAAGACTAGATTTGATGATGCTCTGATCTGAACTAACAGAAACATTTAAAAAAAAAAAATATGTTATTTTACAATATTTTAGCCAAATATAATAAATTGTTGAGGCATGACTAGTTAAAAAATAAAGATATTAAATATTGACCTTTACCTAAAAGAGGAGACACTCATCTCAGATGATTTTATTTATGTATGTGACGCGATATCTTTACCAAATGTCCATTTTACTGATTACTAGTATCCTTTTATATAACAATACCTTATTTTTTTCAACCTATATAAATTTTAAAGAGTAATAATTCACCTCTAAAGGTAGGATCAATAATATTTAATTGAAAAGTAATTATAATAACATAAAGTTATAACTTACTTCATATGTTGTTTCTCAATTATAATACGTACCTATCTTCATGATCTTCTTCATTACTGCCTGACCCAGTATTTGTAGGTCGATCATCCAAAGCTGTTTCAAGATGCCTTGTTTGTGCTATATTTTCTATAACTATGGCTGCTGTCGTTCCTGTCATTGGATCCCCAGGGACAGGTGGTTTTTTTGCTGCTCTTTGTTTCTTGGCACGGTTTCTTAATGCCTTAAGAAATTATTATTTTATATTATAATGTGTGCAGTTTCTACTTCGAAATAATAAACAAAAACAATGTATCAACTTAAGAATGTATATTATATATAATTCTAATAAATTAGCGTATAATCTATGTTTATATTCGAGTTCTTAGTCGGCCTAAGTACACTTAGTTGTATTTTTTTAAGAAATTCTCAGTAGTAGCCGGAAAATAGAAATTTCCGGTGAGAGCCATGTCGTGCCATGATCGATCCTGTGCCTGATCTCTCACCAATCATGTTGAATTATCGTCCTATCGGTTTGAGAATAAGGGGATAGAGAATTTGTTATTTATTATTTATCTGCGCATATTCTTGTACACTATAATATTACCTGCGCAGAATGCTAAACTCAGTGAGTGATCAAATTCGGTTTAAAGGACATTACTATAGAATTGCTCGCTATTATAAAAAAATGTGCTTACCTTAAAAATATTATAGTATAGGAACATCATCATAATACATGGAATATAAAAGGATCCTAGTGAAGAATAGATAACGTAGTTCTGACTGTTGAAGAGGCACTCATCGAAATTTCTATGCGGGGTATCGTTCAAACCAAGAACGATAGGAGCTCCAATTGCGGCCGAGACGAGCCACACCAGAACTATGGTGAACCAAACTCGTCTATTGTTTTTATGTTTAGCATATTTTATTGGTTGTGTTACAGCAATATACCTAAAAACCATTCAATAAGCGTTAATTTGATACTATACTATTAATCTTCAGATATTAAGCACAGTTATTTATCAATTCATAGATTTATTATATTAAAGTTTTCTAATTACGATCTAAGTTTCATTACTGGTGAAAAAAATGATGCCATAAATTGGATAGCCTTTGGTACTACAGTTAGATTAGAGAACAAGACCTATAAAAGGGTATTTTCGGCATATATTTTTCTTTATATTTAATACTAGCATTGTGAAAATAACGTAATGTTTTTAATTAAAAATGTTAACATAAAAGTGGTTATTGTAAGTCAACCGTAAGAGATAGAGATATGCTATCGCGGACTTTTTTGTAGCATTTTTATAGATTTTGAATTCTCTAGTACATTACTTAACTGTATCTTTGCTAGTTTACGCGGCGTTCGCGTGGAAAGTTCCCATTTGGCGAGATTTTTTGCGACCTCTTCAACATTTGTCGCCGTATTTCAGCTAATTTACATAAAAGCATAATAAATTATATACCTAAACCTTCCTCAAGAATTACTCTTTCTATTGTTGAAAACCGTATAAAAATCCGTTCAGTAGTTTTCGAGTTTATCGCGTACAGACAGACAGGAGGACAGACAGGAGGACAGAAAGACGCGGCCGGGGGACTTATTTTTATAATAAGTATAGATAGATAATAAATAATATATATTTGAAAATCTACGCAAATAATAAAATTCTGACTGAGTCAAATCTGTACATTAAATATTTTTTGGAAATTCTTATTGAAATAGTCATTATTATCGACACAGGAGCTAAATCTATAATTTTTAGAAACTGGACAGATTTTGATGAAATTTGGTATGATGATAGCTGGTTATCCGGGTCAACATATGGGATACTTTTTACTGCGGGAAAATATCTTATCTCTGAGAAATCTATACTAAACTTTAAAACGTAACCAGGGACGAACCCGAGCGGAGCTAGGGTGAGTCGCTAGTTAAAATAAATTTCATAGTTAATGAGAGTAGTTCTAAACGGCTACTCTTATTGGTGTTTACATTTAGAATCGAAGTAGATTCAATTTTGTTTGTTTGAATATAGCTATTTAGAATATAACGAAGAATTTTATTAATAAATTGATCAAAGTATTTACTTTTACTTACCTATCAACAGAAATAGCGACTAGATTAAATATGCTTGAAGTTGATGACGTGACGTCCATAGCGATATACACATCACAGATGAATGCAGGCAGACCCCACGATCCATGTACCTTCAAAGGAAATCAAACTTTAAGTTTATTATGTAAATCTTAATTTAGATCATCAAGCTTTGATAGAACCCAATTGAATTCACATAAACGTGCTCAAATAAATCAACGTGATTTAAACGATTTTGTCAGCTTCTTTAGATCTTGTTAATTTTGAAACAGGCTTACATAATATTTGCTTAAATGTATTTGGAAGTTACAAAGTACAAATTATGTTGGTTATAAAAAATAAAAAATAGAGTGAGAAACATCAGCTTTATCTTTATCTTACTCCTTTAAAAAATAAGAAATTAAAAATATAAATACATTTCTTTTGTACAACTAAAATTACTTATACTACTAGTATAATATTATATGATCTGTGCTTATATGTTTTAATATACATAGATACGTCTCATATTGGTCTCAAAAATGTTATCTAATTTTTATCCTAAATATTTTTCCTTTACTTTTACATATTTTTGATAGGTACTACACTCCTAAAAAGATATAAATACTATTATACTATAATTGTATTTTTATTAAATTTTTATTATAATTTACTTTAATTGTATTTTTATTAAATATTTCAATATTACAGAATACAGAATTCTTATTAGTGACTAATGACTAACCCAAGCTCCATTCGAGTTCGTCTCTAGTTACGTTTAGTATAGATTTCTCAGAGATGATATATTTTCCCGTAGTAAAAAGTACCCTATATATTGACCCGGATAGCCAGCTATCATCATACCTAATTTCATAAAAATCTGTCGAGTAATTTCCTCGTGATGCGGTAACAGACAGACAGACAAAAATTCTAAAAACTATAGATTCAGCCATTAATTGCCATTTCGATTGCCATATCGATAATAATGTTTATTTCAATATGATTTTTCAAAAAAAAAATTAATGTACAGATTCGGCTTAGTTACAATTTTATTATATGTATAGATAATATAATTTAAGTAGACATAGTAAAATTTAAAATACAAAATGTTTGATTTTAGCCTTACGTCACTTCTAACATCCGGAATCTGACCGCGTCTGTCGGCCATTACGTACGTCTATTGTTCAGCATCTTTTGTGTCTCCGTTTTATTAGTTTCTTGAAAAGGTACGCGCCCTTTACAATTTCAGATCCGGCGTGTCATTAATTTTGATCAAATTTTGGTTTTATGTTATTTTTATAAAAAAAATCTATTTATAGCGACACATCTAGATATAGACTACTATGTGTTATTCCTATTTTTGTTCCATGACTTTATGCGAAACTGTTTAGTATGTATTAATGGGGATCTGTAAATATGTTCTGATATTACCAATACAAACATTTATTTATACACGAATCGAATTTGTATTTACTCTTACTGATTACGAGTATATTAAGAAAATTAGTCTTATTCACCCTCAGTGCTAGATTGTTGCTTTCTTTTAACAAATAATTTAAAATGTCTAATTTTAAGTTACTTGTAGAATAATTAGTAACAATTTATACAAAAAATGAACGAATTCTTTGGACATTATGGATTAGTAGACAATGTATTCAGCCCTTTTTAACGTCCCACTGCTGGGGATAGGCCTCCCTTCGATACGAGGCGGATCAGGTCATAGTCCGCCACGATGACCAAGAGGGGGTTAGCGGACTACACGTGTCTTTCGAAAACTTACTAGATCCTCTCAGACATGCAGGTTTCCTCGCGATGTTTTCCTTTACCGTAAAGCAAGTTGTAATCATGTTGGAAATTCTCACATGAAAATATCAAAGATGCGAGATACGGGATTCGAACCCGGTTCACTCGTCTTCCTAAGCAAGCGTGTTACTATCGAGGCTACCACTGCCATAGTAGACGATACTACTACTAAAATATCATTCGTAATATTCATGACATTTAAATAACATAAACATAAACAGTTAAATTTTAAAGAATGTAATTTAAATTTAATGATACTAAGCTTTATAGAAGCTAGCTTAAGCTTTTTATAAGTTTCATATTCACATATTTCTGACATACACCAGGAAAGCTGTACTGTAGCACAAATATCGTAAGGTATAAAAAGTTCTACGAAACACTAATGTTTGTTGTTGATACGTTATTTTGTTTGGGAGAACACGGGACGTTAAAAGCAGGATTGTTCGAAATATTCTTTGTTAAGTGCCAACTTATCTAGTATATTAGATTTCTAGATATTTCTAGATATTATTTGAAATAAAATATGTATTATCTGAAGAAATGCTATATAAAAATAGATAGGTCTTTAAAAGTGATATACATAAATGTTGCTCAGTGACTCCTTTGTTAATGCCAAGGTAAGTAAATAATGAACTATATGAATATGAAAATAATAATAAAAAAACAATTAAATTAATAACAATTGCTATTAATGATTTTCCAAGTAAAACTAGTGAGCTTCAGCACTTCCTCCTTATTAAATAATTTAACTTTGAACCAAACTAAAACTAAATTTTAACTAATTTAATATCTTTTCGGATTATTTCGCGGATTTATTTTGATTTTTGACTTCCTCCTTTATTTAATTACTGAATAAAATGATTATCACGACTATCTAAAACGTCCTCCCCGTTAGGTGTAATGTGGCAACATGTATCTTCTACAGATTACACATTACTCGACGGTGGATGACAATATTTTAAAATATTACAAATATTTAAAATATAACAAACACATATCTGTATTAATATTATAAAATATAAAATTTTAACTAACAAAATATGAAGAAGCAATATGATGTATAAATAATGAACAATAATAATCAATTGAGCATCTTTAACTAATACTATACTTTTTACATCTTTAAAAATACTAGGTATATATTAATATATTTTTTTTGCTGTCAAGAAACAAAACATATTGCATTTAATAACTGTAGATTGAAAATATAATGCTTTAGATATTATGTAATCAATATCATCAAGAACACAATGTAATAATACTATTTCATAAAGAATCACAGCGTTTATTGAAAATATTTTTTACACATCTTCTATCATAGCTACATAGTATTCGAGACACGTATTCAATTACATCCAATCGATCTCAACGTTTGATATAATGCCTAATGTGAGGCACTGATGGCACTACTGATGGGGTACCTCGATATTGCCATTAATTTACTTGTGGCTCTAGGAATTTTCAAAGGAAGTGAATAAATTTCATAGATTTAGTTTAATTAATAATTAACTTTACATAAGTAAAGTACAATTTTACCATTTAAATTTTGAAGAAGATGGCTTAATTCCCGTTGTAAGTTTTTTTTATATTGTTTTGAGCACGGAGAAATTGGGATACGAAAAGGGGGCTAAGACAATATATCATTTTGCAATCGTTGTAGAATACAAACCAAAAAAATATATATGCGAATGGTCTATTATTATCATTATTTAACATAAGGATTAAAGATTTGACATTTTAATTAAATTTTTATAAGTTTTTTTCAACTTCAACTTTTATATGTAGAATGATATCTTATCTAAGCCCTAAAAAAAAGTATATTATTTTGGATACCTTACGACATAGGAGTGTAAGATGACTTTTGCAACATAAATTTCATTTTTTACAATCGTCAGTAAACAGATGTGTTATTGTGGAAGCTACCACCGGCTCCGAAAGCAATTCTGTTGAGAAGAGTCAGCGAGAAATTTACGAATTTCTCTTTAAAATTATTAGGAAAATAATTTATTATAACAATTTACTGTAATACAAACAACTATAAGGTGATACTGATATCTCTGCCTAAAGCGCGGGAAATAAATCAAAATCCGTGCCTTTTTTTTAATACATGCCTATCGGCCAAGGTCTAATCATTAACATTATAATAATAATAAGTATTTATTTCAGATCAATAATCCGTAGTAATAATCCAATAATCCAATGATGCATTTATAACAACCAAAAAGCAAATTAAGAAGAATGTAGCATTAATAGGTAATATATTTTATAATACCAAAAGTGTTACTTTAATCTATTTCATTTGAAGTTGGCGAGTGTTGAGAAGTGGTCGATAAAAACTTTTAATCTATCGTGTCCAGTTTCAGTATGATTGTTCGACTTCTGGTTGGAGAACGGTATTCTGGACACGTATACAATTACCCCAATGATATCGATATAATGATAGCTATATATACTTACAATTAAATGGTAGCTTGTCCGTACATAATATAGATATTTTGTACTATATCTATTAATATTTATACCTATTTTATTATTGACTAAGTTTTAGCTATTAGCAACTATAGTTTACTATTAGTACTAGGTCTTTGCCTGTTTTAAAATCTACATTCTACAGCCAATAAATATGATCAATATATTATAATATGGGAGGAAGTATAAGGAAAACTCTATACTGATATGATCGCTAATTTGGCACGCTCGGGCGTAAGCATCGTGGTCAAGCGGCCAAGGCGCAATTGACAATTACAGGCGTCCGGATTCGAATCCCGGTTGGATACAAAAATTTTACTTTTTTTTTGCATTTATTCAAGTTTTTATTTTTAAGCTAAATTAAAAAGAAAATTGTACTTATGGCCAAAAACTCCGAGTGAAGCTTGGTTGCCCAGGTATTTTAATAATAAACTAAGATGCTATTTTGATTTGATGCTTTTTAATGTCCCTCTGCTGGGCATAAGTCTCCCCCATTGCAAGCCCCCTCCCCCCCCCCCATGGGAAAAATATGCGCTAATGTAGATTTCCCATGTCTTTCGAAAACTAGTTGGATTTTCTCATGTATATTACATGCTCGTTCCCTCACAGTGTTTTCCTTCATCGTAGTATAGCAATTAGTAATCATGTTGAGGTGAGAAGATTTTTGTTTCGGCAGCATCCCTTCGACGTTTCCATAACTTTCTTTCAATTTCAAACAAGATGTCAACAAAACTATAAAGTATAGACACAGGTATTTATAATAATAAGACAAAATTCTAAATTACGATTTAGATAGCACTAGCTTTAGGAA